CAATAAAACCTTTGTTAAACTTTTTTTAAGCAATCCATGTTTGTTCTTAAACTTCCACAAAGTCGTCATTAATATGAGTATATTGTTCAAGCTAGTTTTCAAACTCTGAAGATAAGCTGCTGCTCAGTGATTGAATGGATTTAATTTGCAATCCTAATACTAAGATCCTTCAAAGAAATAGCTGTATAGACAACTGTTTCCCTATGATCCAAGTTCCAAGTTCAATGATGGTAAATTAGATAATTTGGTCAAATGAGATCTCTCTCTACCAATCCAATAGATGAGAATTCACATATTAATTAAAATAAAAATATTTAAAAATAAAAAGTTTTATCTTTTGTGATTGAAACTTTTCAGTTTAAATTAAAATTATATTAGACAGAGGAAATAATGGGGAAAAAAAATTTTATATACAGTGAGTGATCAGTTAACGAACAAATCAGATAACGAACACTTTCGCGAAAGATTTTTAAGATTGGACAATGAACACTTCACTGAACAAACAGAAGAAGAAGCGACGTAAAATAACAAATACTGATCGGTCTTCCTTTGTCTTCAGGCAACAATTTGAAACTTTTCGGAGCGCGAGAGATGTCGACATCGACGTTCAACCCAGTATATACTGATCAGATAGTATTCTCCCAAACTTTGAAACTCTCCCTTGTAATTCCAGCCTTTTATATTTCTGATAGAAACAATTCTTTTACATTTTCTTCTGAAAAAGCAAATTTATGCTGATATCTGCTATAAAAGATCTTTTGAAGAAGTGGGAGGATGTTTTAAAATGGCATCCAAACCAGGGTGAGATTAATAGGTCTAGGGATCTCTACAATTACAATGCGATTAATTACTTCTGAAAAATCGTGAAGAAGACAGAAAAGCAATCGACATTGGACAGATTCTTTAACCCCCACAAACAAAAAAAACATGACAAATAAAAATGCAAGACTGTGTATATATGTATTTTTATTATTACATGTGAATAAACATAGTAAGAAAGTATATATTTTTTAGTTTTTGGGAGTCTCCAAAACGAATTAATCAAATTCCCATAGAAACCTATGGTAAATTGATAATCAGTTAACGAACAATTCGGATAGCGAACAAAGTCTTGGAATGGATTATGTTCATTAACCGATCACCCACTGTATTAAAAAACAAGTTGGATCTCCTTTTGCCTTTATTACAGCTGAATAACTAGGCATTAATTCAACCAACTTTTTGTAATTGTTTAGATGTAAAAATTTGTAACAATGTTCAGTTTTTGGAATGATTTCTTAAATTTAGTTCAAAACCTGACGGTCTTTGGTAATAGTTTGAAAACATTTGTTAAATAAAAATTTTCTCTCAGTGAACCTCAGGTGATATAATAAGATTGGTAGTCTCTCTCTGTTGGGTACACTTGGTATGAATAGTTTTGTCTATTACATTCCAAATTCTGATGATTGTTTTTCAGAACAGTTTTGTTTGTTTTTGTGAGAACCTAGGAGCCAAAATTTTAGGCCTGAATAGAGAATTTTAAAGTTTTCTATTAATAAACCTAAAATTTTATACATTTATATTAGTCACAAATGAACTTTCTTTCAATTTTGGAGGAAGTTTTTCAGGAGCTATGCTGATTTTGATATCAACTCCTCAAGGAAGTTCCTTGTTGCTTCTCTCCTCAGATGACTTGAATAGCCGTAAATGATTGGTCAGATAAATATCCTATATAAAATAGGATCAACTCCAATACCCAGAGACCTGGATTTGGAAACAGAACTTCCAAGAAAGTTGGTGTCCAAATAAAAAGAAGTTTTTCTACCAAATACAGGAAAATACAGCCAGCCCAGTCAATAACTCAGAAGAAAAGAAATGAGATTTTACATTTTCTCAAACCTTTAAAGTCTCTCTCTTTGATTTTAGATAAATTTGATATGTCAACAAAATAGCTAAGAAAAATATTCTTATAATAGATTTATTTGATAAGACCCTTGATATTTTAGAGATTGTTAACATTTGTGTTGTTTTTATATTTATCATTTTTTTTAAAGTACAGTAGAACCTCGATTATCCGGACTAATTGGGGATGAAGGTAGTCTGGATAAGGAAAAATCCAGATAATCGAAACAAATACTTTAATTTGTCTTTTAATCATAATACAACACGTTTTCTTTTTGATGACATATCGGTAATATTAAAAGTAAATACTGTATTTAAATCGTGATCAAATTTTCAAGAAACAAACGTTCGTATTGAATTTGGACTACTACTAACCAACGCTAACAGACTACCTATTGTTTAAAAGGCCCTCTGGTGGTGCAAGAAGACGGATTTTATAAAATAAAAAGCAGTTGAAACTGCATTTTTATGAATAAAACTTTGACAAACTATTTATCGTTTTATGACAAGTAAAATTTTTTTGTTGCGTTTGCGGCTTTTAAGTACAATGCGTAAACCTTCGAGGCGCGAGGCCCTTCGGACCGCGAGGCATAGGCGGTGGCCCACGTCACCCGTGCCTTATGCTGCCTTTGGTCATAGAAATTATGTAATTTGAATATAATTTATTTATAAATACGTATGTCAAGTTATATTTTTATTACGACGCAAAATATATTTAAGAGTTTACGACCACTGTGCCGGGTGAGACGTTGTTGAAACAAAAAATGTTATGCATTCCATTACATACATAAACGGTGTCGTAATTCGCCAAGTGCAAATCAGCAAATTCGTAAAATTTTGTTTATTTTGAACAATCTGGATAATCGAAAATCCAGATGATAGAGGTCCAGATAATCGAGGTTCTACTGTACTTATATTATTGAATTTAAATAAATGTGTTTATATATGATTAAAATGTTTCCAGTTTATTTCTATTGTCTTATCCATGAAAGATTTCAAATCCTCCTGGATTCATTGGTATTATTTTCAAAATATCATAAATTAGGATGCTGTTTTTCATTTCTTTCCTAACTGGTGTCAGGAATCTTGATGTTAAAAAGATCCTGATCCTGATGATCTTTAAACAAAATAAAATATTTTTATCCTGAATTTGTGAGTGGGGTTTTACTTCCCCAATCTCATGTTTCTATTATAATTGTTCATTCAGTATGATTCCATATTTGCTCAGTCAGGTTGAGTCAGGTTATTGACACCAAGGAAACATTTTTATAAATTTATCATGAAACTGATTTCAAAGTGTGCTTTGTATCATTGTTATATTAGAAAACAAACCCTTGCCCTAACTTTAATTGTCTTACTGATTTCTGAACATTTTCATTCAAAATTGTTTATACACATGTTGATTTATTATTCCATCAACAAATTCCATTTGCAGACATACTATCCCAAACCAGCACTGAATTGTCTCCATACTTTTAGGCGATCAACTGAACCAAAAACTTTGAATTTGGATTTGTCCAATCGCAAGACTGAATTTCAAAATGTTATTGGTTTTGTATAAAACTCTTTTGCAAACTTTAACCTTTTTTCTTGATTTTATTTCTGCTGATGAATGGTTTTTTTTCTTAGCCATATAACCTTCATAGCCTCTTTTCCTTAAAATTTTTCCCACACTTTCTGCATATACTTGTGTTTCAAATTCTACAAAAATCTCAGCAGCAAACTTAGCAGCATTTATTTGTAGATTTTTCTTCACTTTTCTGTCAATGGCACATTTCTGTTTCAAAATACTTCAGGGCATCCAGTTTGATTTGTATTAATTATACTATTTTATGTGATAATGAGTTATAATTAAAAAACTTACATATTATAGATGTCCAGATACTTTTGTGACATAGTGTATATACAAAGCATGATTTGAGTGATTGCATTTAAAATTCTGAATCCTTTATAATGTAGTTTTTGATTATTCAAATTATCACTTTTTTATTTTTTGTCAGATGCATTCTGATGCAATTATGGCTTTTGTGTTGATTAGTGTTTTCTTTACTCCCTTTTTTATGTAAGCCAGCATCTTAATGGTGTGTAATGGTGACACACAATCATTTAAGTGAAGTTTAAATAAATTATGGGCTATTGGACTCTTGTAACACTTCTATAAGTTTATTGCAGCCCACTGAGAATTTTGTGAAAGCCAGGTTGAAAACCACTTGTGCAGATCATTCAGCTGTTTTTGTGTGAAAAAGTTCAGTTACAACATAGTTTCTATTAAAACAGCTTTATTATATTCAAAATTATTATTTCTTAAATATTTTTACATTAAGTATACAATAACTATGTCTTATTAAAGCTTGTATTCTAAACATTCAATATAATCATTAACAAATGAAATCATAACACTAAATTAAAACATAATAAAAATTAATTTGAAGTAATGTAATGTGATTTGCAAAGCTTTTTAAACTCATTCATCCTATTTGTTTTTCATTGTGCAATATTTGATGAAATAAACTTACCTCTCTTACATTTTTCCATTCATTTTCTAAAATGATTTAATACTTGAGATCTAAACCCAAATTTCCTGTTTGACATGCAGTTTCATTGCCAGTTACGCTACCTCAACCCCATGTGATCTCCTCTTCTAGAGTTAATTAATTCAGATATAATTATATTGATTGTTCACAGTGTTGATTAGGATGACTTTAATATACCCAAGATCCTCTTTGGCTCTCAGCTGACTTTTAATCTCATGAATGACCAGTATGATTATATCTGAATTAATTAGTATTTCTGGAACAGGGAATTGGATGGCATTGGATGAGTAACTGGCAATGCAACTAACTGCATGGCAAACAGGGGTTGCAGGTTTGTATCCTGTTCTAGGACAATTCTTTTCTTTCAGAAAAGTCTAAATTTAAACTTAAAAATTAAGTTATTTAAAACTGACTGTTAAACTTATTGCGAGAGTGGCCTAACTGCCTGCCTCTGGACGAATTGCTTTGATTCTGATTATTAAGTAGCCTTAAAATATAACCAATAAAACTTCACATCATTTTGCAATGTTAAAGTATTGGATTATTATAATTTATATATATTAATTACAACTATTTACTTTTCAGAATTATTGCATCATATTAAAAAAATACAATAGTATCAAATGAAGAAGCAAATATCTTGTCACTTCAAAATATTTAGAAGTTAATGTGATGCTACAACAGATGAAGACCAAAAGTTTTGTTGGTCTCTTAGCATGTATTATAGCAACAAGTATTATTGTATGCCTTTATGGAGATCCAAAACCTTCTATCCATGAAATTGTTACAGAAACACATCGACAGTTATCACAATTAAAAAAATTAAAAGTAAGTTATTTTCTAATTTTTCCAAAATGATTAGTGTAAAATATTTTATGTTGATTTAAATTAAAAGTTCTATAGGATAATAATTTTCATATTATTTAAGACTGGTGATAGTCTGTTAAAACAAAATTTTGTTTTAAATTTCTATATTCGGGAAGTATATCTTTTTTAAACCCTAAGATTTCATTTTAGGCTACTTTATCATACTAAGAAATATTTTAAAATATCTTAAAACATGAAAAAATTAAATATCCAATTAAAAAGCTTAAAAACACTCCAAGATTTGGAATGGAGACAAAACAGAAGTTTCCTGTTCTTATTTTTCATTCATAAGGCATTGGAACCATACTATTGCTTCTTTTATCCATTAGGAGACTTACTGTTAATAAGTAGATTTCTTTTGATTTTAAACAGTCTTTTTAGGGTATTTCAACTGAATAATGAACCAAATTTTAATAATCCCATGATTTACATTTTATTTCTACACATTTATAATATAAAATTAGGGTTTATACAAAAACTGACTTTTTAAAAAACTGGTTTTTGAATCTCAACTTTTCTATGAAACCAGTTTTAACCGATTTTCAAATTTTTACCCAAAAAAAAAAAAAAATGGAGATAAGCGATATTTACAACTTATTTTAAAACTTTTTAATTTATTTAATATTTATAACATTTCAAAAATATAACAAAATAAAATTGATCAATATGTACATAAAACAAAACAAAGAAAATGCTAGAATATCACATTAAACTATAAAATTTACTCTATAGAAAATCATAAAGAAAAACAAATAACAATGAATGCCTGCTAAATATTATTTTATTTCTTATTTTTCATAAGAAAATATGATTTTAGAAAGCAAAGAATGATATCTATAGATCTATTGCTCAATCATGTCCTAATTTTGCATACAAAATTGCCAGAAATAGAAAAAAACTCTCTCACTTGCTACTGAGCTGAGTTTACTCATCTTTAAAGCATTAAATAATAAATGTAAATTTTTCATTCTTCTGTTTGTAACCTCTAACACTAAAAACTCCTTCTTAAGTGTCTTAGGACTGGACGAAGTCACTTTTTCAAGTTTTTGAAGATATTTATGTCATCAATCTCGTGCGACTCTATTTTGGGGACTGTAACTTGCAAAGGGACACTTGTAGAGGTATGGTTCATTTGACGTTTTTACTCCTATGGCTATGCTCTACAGCTCCAAGGTCCCAACTGTCTCATTCAGAGCATGAATTGAGCTGAATTGGATGCTTTTTAGTCATAGGATGATTTTTTTTGTTTTGTAGTTAGTTTTATGAAACTTGGTATTTAACAATATTCCCGTTTTATGCCAGAGACGATTTTGTGTCAAAATATTGATGTTTTTAATCAAATAATTAATTAATTTTTGTTTTAAGTGTAGGCTCAAAAACTGGTTTTTTACCCGGCTTTCAAATTATACAAATTTCTTCAAAAAAACAGGTTTTAAAAACTGAAAAATCCTATATAAAATTAATTTTGTCAAGTTTCTTTTCAGGTAAAATTTACAATTAAATTAGATTCAATTAATATGGCTATAAGAATGAAACATTAAATTCAATATAAATAATAATCAGTTATTGTTTAAAGCTACTGTAATTTTTTACTCTGGAGGACAATTTAGGTAATTTAATTATGTGTATATATTTATGTTTATATTTTAAATAATTTAACTGTACAGGTTAATAATACAAATATATTTTTTAGTAGTATACTTCAAACTTTCACTTCTTAACCAAAAATCCAGCAAAGAGTTGTATAACTTTCCCAACAAAAACCGATTAAGAACAAGCAATTATTTATTGTGACATTGTCACAATGCTAGGCTGCAATTTTTAATTTATTTAATTTAAAATATATGTTCTCCACCTGAAATTATTAGTAGTGGCTGCCCCTGTACATCATACTTTTCCTTTAACAGTAGAGTTGTGCCAGTCATCTATTAACTGCTTGCAGGGGAAAAGGTTTGAATTGAAATAATGACTTCCAGTTTGCATCAGAAGTTCATATATAGGTAATTGGGACCTCCATGTTCAGTAATACAGAATTCTTGCTAAGTCTAGTTATGCTGCGATATTGAACTCATTTCTAACTACTGCTTGACTCCTCCCATTTCTAGAATTCTAGCTAGTTCAGTCAGCTTTTTTTATTTATGCTAACTTCTACTAGTGACATTATTTGTTTTTGTCTCGTACAATTTGAAAGATGGCTCTTGTTAGACTAAACGTATTTTATTGTAACAATCACAAAGTTATTCTGTCATTCTAAATCATTAATTCATTCTAAAATGACTTTGAAATGTAAAATTTTCATATGTTGGTATAACAGATTTCAAATATATTTTAACAGAAGTTAACGTGTCCATTTCATTGATTATAATTAATAATTGCTTCTTTAATATTGTCACAATCTGATGTAGCTTCCACTTGAATAATTGTATTGGTTACTTCATCCTTTTCGACCAGTTTGTTTGCAACAATTGTTGCAATCATAATTTTAACTTTGTCCATTATTTTGCCCAGTTGTCTAAGAGTAATCATTATGATGCTCAGAACATTCTTAGCTCCGCCAACTAAGCCACTCAGAATTCTAACTTAGATGTTCTGCATTACTGAACCAGGTCCCAGATTTCATCTAACTCTGTTATCAAGATTAAGGAAAGACAGACGGACTAATGATAGTGGAATTTATAAGTCTATAACTTTTTTCAAATTGCAGCCCAAAAACTAACTTGTAAGACATATTATCACAAAATTAAAATTGTGTGGTGCCATCTGTTGTGAGTTATTTAAAAATATAACTTTTTATAATATCAATAACAACTTTGCTCTGGGAGTACACTAAATCCTGGTGTGGAATGATAGATTTAACTCTACAACACTGGCCCAGGTTGCAAGTGAACCTGGGGTGTCAGCATGCTGGAATGAGGCAAAACTGACAAAAAAGGTTTTTGATAATGTAAAACTAAGATTGATGGATGCTTATGAAATATTTCTTAGTTTGAGGATGGGTGAATGTATTAATAATGAAGAAAAAGAAATATTATCAAAGGCATTGCAGTTACTGGTAGATTACGCAATACAATTATCAGACAATATACAATCAACTTGGTATGCTTTGGGTACAACTATTACTAACTTATACCAAGTTTTTGTTAGTTGAACCCCCTTTTTTATTTTCTTTAATGTACTTTAAAAATTTATTTTCTTTTGCATTGAATATACAGGTTGTCTAAAAAGAAACTGAACTTTTGTTCTAGAAATTTTGCCTGTTGGCACAACTAGTACCAACAGGCAAAATTTTGAATGTTACATTAGCAATCATGCACAATAGCATTTGAATCAGTTCATAACAATCCTTTATGTGGTGCGAAATTTTGTAACCATCATAGAAAAATTGCATTGGAGCAACATGCCAACTTTAAGTTCTGCATGAAACTAAAGAAAACTTGTACTGAAACATTTAAGTTACTAAAACAAGTATATAGGAATGATTGCCTATCTTGTACACAAGTGTATGACTGGGTTAGTCGATTCAAAGATGACCAGGAGTCAATTGAAAACAATCTGAAAAGTGATCATCCAAAGACTTTGACTACAGACAATAACATTGAAATAGTGTCAAAAATTGGTTAAGGATCTGAATATGACTTGTAAAATAGGAGTGTAGAGTGTCTGAGGACTCCATCCACATGATTTTATGTGATCATTTGAACATATGTAAGGTGTGTTCTCACTTTGTTCCACATTCATTCACCAAGGAACAAACATGTGCATATTCACCATGTTCAGGACATCATCAAAACAGCTTGCCACAACTCAAATTTTCTCAAAAATATTGTCATGTGTGATATAATATAGTATTATCAGCACAATTTATTGATAAAATATCAAAATTCCATGTGGAAATCATCAGATGAGCTCATCCTAAAAAAATCCAGTAATGAGTTGCTTAACTTTCCTAGCAAAATTTGGTGGTGCCATCTGTTATCATATTTTATTTAAAAAATTTTATATTTTTTACTATTATAAAATGACAAGAAGCTTAATTTTGAGGGTAGAGATGGGTTTTATAAAAAATTCTAAATACTGATAACAAGTAAAATTGTCATTAAGTCTGATTCTAATATGGAGATACACATGACCCCCTTTGTCTCCTTATTTCCTCAACCTTTAATCAACAAAATTTAATAGTATCAATCTTCTTAATAAACAAACCTCCTTGCAAAATTTCAGAAATTTGACATAAAGCACAGGAGGTATTAAGCTTCAAATAGGGTGAGCAAAATCATGCCCCCCACACACACATCCAAACATCCATATATACAGAAAACCCCTGAATTTTTTTGCATTGCTCAATGTTTCAACATGTCCTGAATCCAAAAATGTAAAAATCTTTGGGGTCATATTTTGACCGATTTGTCATAATTTCCTGTTATATATAATAGTTGGGAATTAAAAATTTGCTTCCAAAAATTGAGGGTCAAGACCATGCTCATCTGCTTTTTTATAACTCCAAGGGATTTATGCACCAGGAATTTGTCCCAAATGACCAGAATGCAACCAGGGAATTTTACTTGGGTATTTTGGAATGTCTTTGGAATGGAATTTTACACATACAGCCAGAGTATTGCACTCAAGGTGTAATGTCTGATTTTTTTCAAAGCCTGGAAATTACCTAACATACTGCATTACATAAGTGAAAACAAGTTGGTTGGTTGGTGCCAGGCCTGGACTTCTAAATGGGAAAAAACATGAATGAATGTGTTCAAATGAAACCTGATTAATATTAGAAAATTTTTTCAAAATAAATGAATACTTGGCTATGCGACAAAAAAATTAGATTTATTATGTTATAACTATTTAGATACATAAGTTAATAGAAATAAATATGAAATAACTTAGAAAAAGACAAACTATATAAGTTATAAAATTCAATGATACTTTATCTAAATCCAAAACCAAAACAAGTTTGT